GGAAATGATTATCAATTGAAAAGAATGTAATCAATTAACTACTCCAGAAAGGAATTTTCTGAGATTTTTTTTATATAAAAATTATTTACAGGTAATTGTAAATATTTAATGGGTAATTGTAAATATTTAATGGGCATTTATAACCGGTTACCAAAATATATCACCTCTCTCCATTTTCTAGCCACATTCTTTAAAACTTGGTCCCATAAAGTCATTTAAAATAGCTTGAATTTCACCAACGAAACAAAGTAATTTAGTGATAATATTTTTTCATTAAAAATAAGATATTCTGAATTCAAATCACATGACATACGAGTAGGATAGGTGGAACAAGAGATGTGAGAAAGTTGTCTTTCGTTGTGCAACCAATATATATATAAAAAAAAAGCTTGAATTTCTTTAGATCAAGAGTGTATTAAAGGTACATTTTTATAATTAATAATTTGTGTTGAAATTAAAATCAACATTAATTTTATTGATTGTATGTTTATATATCACATTAATGATAAAAATAAGATCAACTTTTTTTATTTTCTATAAAGATTAAAAGTAAAAATATGTAATTATAATTTTTTAATGATTTAGGATAAGAATATATTTATTGAATCTTTTTACCATTAATTTGTATAAAAAAATAAAATTTCACTTTAGTTTTATCAATTGTCAAAATAAAATGTTCCATGTGGCATTAGTATTAAAAATAAAGTTTACTTTGTAATTTATCATAAAAATTAATAGTGAAAAGTGCAATAAATGTACTTTTAAAGATATAGATTAGGAAAACTCTACGTAATTAATGTACTCTTAAACGTGTATTCTTATAATAAATATTAGAAAAACTCATTTACAAAAGAGAATTGTTATCTGCTCTTGTTAAAAAAATCATTATTATGTACAAAAGAGTGAAAATAAAATTAATTTTTTGTTTTTTCCATATAAAGTAATGAAATTGCACTTTTTTCACTCTATATGCTTTTTTTAAAAAAATTATTATGCAATTCAAACCATCTAACAAAAAAAATTTTAATTATTATCTATTTATTATATAAAATTATCTAGTCAAATTTGATATAAAAGTTAAACTAAAACAATTAAATCTGACAAAAAAAAAGTAGTTATTTTTTCATATTTTAAGAGTAACAAATGTTTTTTCCTATTTTAACTTTGTAAATCCCATTATTTATTATCCATCCTATTATAAAAAAAAAAATCTCTCTTTTTTTATGTCTTGTTTTAAAAATAATATAGATAAAAATAAAAATTACCCCCAAATTCTTAATATATAAAGCTAAAATCAAATGGAGGGAGTAAAAATCTGACTGTCATTCTGAGAGAGAGTAAAAGGAGAAAGAATTCTCAGTCCGGCTAAAATTGAATGAAATGGTGCACGAAAGGACAGACATTGTTTTTAGAAAAACCCCTCCTCTTAACTCCCCCAACTTACCCCAATTTAATATGTTAGCTCATTAACTGAAAACGGTGCAAATAAAGCCACAAACTCTTTCTCAACCCCTTTGATTATTTATTGACTGGTCCGTATACTTAAAAATTTAATTTATTTTGATTCATTACATTTTATAATTTACTGCTTAAAATATGAATTTTTTAAGGTTTTATATTTAAAATATCAAGGTCTAGATTTGTGTGTTTCTTTTTTTTTTTTCTTTCTTTCTTTCTTTCTTTTGTTTAGGGCTTTAGACGTTAGAGTTTTGATTTTTATAGTGTTAACTGTTTAGAATAGGGCTTAAATATTTTAAGATTTAATGTTTACAGTGTAAGATTTTGCTTTTTTAGAGTTCAGTATTTTTAGTGTTAGTATTTAGATTTTTAAGGTTTAATGTTTAAATTTTTAGATTTCAAATTAACATAAAAATTTGTAATATATTACCTAATGAAGATTAAGTTATTATAATAAATTAATATTTTTGATAAAATGGTGTGTAAAAAGTACACTAAAACATTAATCCCATACATAACCAAGATTCCCTCTTATTTTTTAAAGATTAAACTTCAATTTCGATTCCCAACTTTGGTATAGATCTTTGATTTGGTTTTTAAAATAAATAAATCTTTATTCAGGTATATAAAGTTAAGAATTTTGGCTACTTTTTTTTTTTGTATATTTGTTAACTTCTTAGTAACATCTATTAATTTTTAAAATGACATGACATAATTTTTGTTAAATAATTAGCTTTGATAATTTTCTAATAATATATAGATAAAAATTTAAGTAGGTCCGCTCTAGTTAAACCAACTACTAAAAATGGATTCACTTAAACTTCCACCACTATTATTATAAAATTATCAAAGTAATTACTTATTGAAAATTATGTCATGTTATCAAAAAGTTAATAGAAGGACCAAAGAAGCGACAGAATCTCAAATTTAAGGGCTAAAACATGGATTTATTAGTTAAGGACCAACTCAGGGATCCATGCCAAAATTTAGGGACCAAAAACCGGAGTTCAACCTTTTCTAAATCCCTTGCGTTTCTCCACCTATCCTCTCAAAATTTGTTATATCATGCTGATTATGAGCCCCATTAGTTAAGGAAATAAATTGAACAATTCATTTGAAGAAAGAAGGTCGCTAAATCCATTGTTCCCAATCTTTAAAAAAATTAAAAATTAAAAATAAAATATTAGCCGGTATCGCCTAAAACCAAGCGTTAATAATGAGGCATTTTTAATGGGGTATCTTTTCTGATGGGAGTCGTCTCCAATTAGAGACCTTCTACTGGGGAGGAGCTCTCCTATATGGTTTCCTTTTTTCTTTTCTTTTCTTTTTTCAAATTGTTATTTTTTTCTCCTATAATGCTATGAATATAAATATGATAATATTAGTTAAATAAAATAATATTCATATAATTTTGGATGAATCTCTTTTGAGTCTCTAGTCTCAGCATTAGAGTAGAGAGTCTCTTAAATATGTTTGGTTAGGAGAAAGTATTTTTCTCTTACTCATCAAGGAAAATTATGAAGGCATTTTAGCATTCTTATAAAATTATAATAATTAAAGAATAAAGTTGATATTTTTAATCTTTATATTTCTTAACATAATTATCAATAAATAAAGCTGTCTTTAAAAAATGATATAATTACAATATCATATGATATTATAAATTTATAATTATGATATGTCTTAATTATATGGTTGATTGCTTTTATTTTAGGACCATGCATAATATTATACATATCAATTCATGTAATACTACATCATCATTATAAATTTATAATTTTATGTAATATTATAATTATAGTATTACTTTTTTTTCCCTCTTTTTCAAATAGAAAAAAATTTCCCAACTTTTTCAATGTGAGATTTACTTGACATCATTCCTTTCAACTTTTTTTATATTAATTTTTTACCAAATATGAAAAAGCTAACAAACTTTGTGTTTGTTATATTAGTGTCAAAAAGGAATTAGCTTTGTGTTTTTTTATATAAATTAATAAAAAAATATAATTAATACACCTATAATATGTGTCTTAAAACACAAATTAGGCAACCCATTTAATTTTTCATTTAGCATTTTCAAAATCATTTTCTAAGTAAAGTTCAGCTCTAATCATAGTTGAATAACATAATTTGAGTAAGAGACCCATTACTTGTATTCCTTCTATTTAACTTTATTAAATTTAATTTGTAATTTAAGATGTTTAAATTTAAGTGTTAATTTTTTATTTAATATGTTATTTAAAATATTTTTTGCTTTATTATTATTTTAAAAATATAATTATAACATATATTATTAAATAAAATGATTGATTAAAGAAAAAATATAAACTTTTATCAAATAATTATTACTTGTATATTCTTATTTGAGCAAAAATTTATTTATATATAAATTTTACACAATACATTTATATAAAATTTTAATTATTTATTTTTTTATTTTTAATGGTTAAAATTTATTTATATTTATTAAAAATAATTTTTTATAATTTATGATAAATCTTAATCCTTAAAAAAATAAAAAAATTAAAATTTTATATAAATATAATATATAAAATTTATATATTAGTAAATCTCTAAATTTTTTATTTTATTAAAAAAAATAAATCCATTAAAAATGGATAGTGGGAGTAAATATACCGATGCCGCACGATTTCCAAGCCCTCCAGATTTCTCTGCAACCTCCAAGGCACTTTGGTTTTGATTTGAGGGCGGCCCCGGAGCTAAAACTTGGATGGCCAAGCACAAATTTGTTAGTGGAGTTTAAAAAATCCCCGGTTTCCACACCTGTAGGTCCCACCTACATCCCCACCACATCTCCTGTATAAATAACTCAGTCTTCTGATTTCTGGCATTGCACTTCTTGGGATACCCAACGGAAGGGAACAAAGGGAACGTACCCGTTTCAAAGAAGGGAAAGGTAATTGCGCAGCAGTTTCTCCTTCTCTACTCTACAATACCAAACATGCTTCCGGTGAAAAAACGAAAAATTTTTTCAAGAACAGACGAAAAGTCCGATCTCTTCGACGGTTTGCCGGACGATCTCATCGTTTTCATCCTCTGCAAACTCAGCTCCTCCGCTTCTTGTCCTTCCGATTTCATCAACATTCTCTTAACGTACGGTTTCTTCATACCCGTTTCTTTTCAGTCTTTCTGTTCTTTTCAGGAACTCACGTTAATTTCTTGAACAGATGCAAAAGATTAAACCTTTTGGCTCTCCATCCTCTGGTGTTAGCGAAAGCCGGAGCAAAAGTGTTCGCGGTCAGAGCCAAAAGCTGGTCCGATTCCGCTCACCGTTTCCTCAAACACTGTGTTAACACCGGGAACGTTGAAGCTTGCTATTCTCTCGGCATGGTAAGTTATTTTGATTTCATTTTTTCTATTTTTTAAAAAATTTTGAGGAAATATTAATTAGCGTCTGTATCTGTAATTGTAATTCGTCTGCTCTAATTGCTTGGAGTTAACGAATTTCCTTTACAGATCCGATTTTATTGCTTGCAAAATCGGGCAAGCGGAGCGTCGTTAATGGCCAAAGCGGCGATTACGTCTCACGCGTCGGCGCTCTATTCACTAGCCGTGATACAGTTCAACGGCAGCGGCGCCTCAAAGAACGATAAAGATCTCAAAGCCGGAGTGGCGCTTTGCGCTAGAGCCGCCTTTCTGGGTCACATCGACGCGCTCCGTGAGCTCGGCCATTGCTTGCAGGACGGCTACGGCGTTCGCCAGAATATTGCCCAGGGACGGCGGCTGCTAGTAGAAGCCAACGCGCGTGAGCTTGCGTCCTCGTTACGCTCGTTGACCAGAGGACAACAGCAACGTCAGCAGTGCTACCAACGCTACACGTACGTGGCGGATTCGGGTTGCCCGTTGCTGAGTGATTTTGGATGTAATGTGCCTGCGGCGGAGGTGCATCCGGTGAACGAGTTCTTGAAAGATTGGTTCGAGTCACGGATGGGAGAGCTAGGGGCCGGGCTGAGATTGTGCTCGCATGATGGGTGCGGGAGGCCGGAGACCAGGCCTCACGAGTTTCGGAGGTGTTCTGTTTGTGGCTTGGTTAATTACTGTTCGCGTGGCTGTCAAGCGCTAGATTGGAAGTTGAGACATAAGGTGGAATGTGTACCGGTGGAGCCGTGACATAATGAAGGTGGTGGCGGTGGCGGCGGTGGCGGTGCTGGAGAAGTGGCGGAGGAAGAGTTTGAGGCAGTAGTCGACCGCTGATCAAGATTCCGATGAAGGTTCTTTAATTTTATTTTTTGAAATCGATATGTAGATGTGGAGAAAGGTTTTTTGGATGAATTTTCTTTTTTTATGAGAACTAATGGCTGGAAATTTCCAAAACAAGAAAAAGTAACAGTACTTTTTTTTTTTTCCTTTTGATTTGGAGTTGCAAAATTAGAACACAACTTTCTCGTTACATAACCTTCGACTTGTCATATGATTTGAAATTTTGAAGCCGAATATGTTTTAATTTTACTATAAGAATATTATTATTGAATTAGTTAATTGTATGGCAAGTGACGATCGTAAATTTGAAAAATTATTGAAAACGCTTACAAGCTCAGCAGATCTGTGTTTTTAATACGAGGTACTATAGTGTTTTTTTTTTTTTTTTAACATTTTGACACGGGACGGATTCGAAACCCGTCCAGGGAAGGGGAATGCACCTAGTAAACTAATTAATGTCAGTGGGTCTCTAAGTGACACGGGACGGGTTTAAAACCCGTCCCGGATAAGGAGAATGCACCTAGTAAACTAGTTAATGTCAGTGGGTCTCTAGGTCCAGGTCCAGGTACTATAGTTTCAATATTAGACATAATTATAAACCCGTCCCGGGAAAAGGGAATGCACCTAGTAAACTAGTTAATGTCAGTGGGTCTCTAGGTCCAGGTGCAGGTACTATAGTTTCAATATTAGACGTAATTATAAACCCGTCCCGGGGAAGGGGAATGCACCTAATAAACTAGTTAATGTTAGTGGGTCTTTAGGTCCAGGTGCAGGTACTATAGTTTCAATATTAGACATAATTATAAATTTATGATGACAATGTATCATAAAATGAATAAATATGTATAATATTATAAATAATTTTTTTTAAGTTTATTTTGTATAATAATTTATACTATCTATTAATAGTTTTATTAAATTTAATAAATAAAAATATTTAAATTATTAATGTTAATAATTATTATTATCAATTATTAAATTAAATAAAATTATTAAATTAATTTTA